CAAGCTGTCTACTACTGCCCTCTAACTGAATTATCTTTCATTCTCTGAGATTGTTTTACATTTTGAGGAGGCCCACAGCTACACCATTTAGCCATTTTCCTCAAAGACATGATGTCATTTCCTGTGTTGTCCTTTCTTTTCCTGTTAACCCAAATAATCCAAGAATGTAACGGGGCTGAATGGATATGTTTTTCTCCATTTTTTAAAATGGTATCTTTAAGACAGATGTGTGCTGATAGAGATGTAACCCACGAAAGACAGCTGTCCAGTTTGGCACAGTCTAACCCCAGCAAGCAGACAGTCTCAGAAGGAATGCCCTTTATAGAAATTAGAGCAGGTCTTGTAGTACTGGTAACTTCAAAACAAATAAATAAATCTAACACGCAGTGAAACACCAGCATGGCACCACTGAAGCGTCTGAAATTACACATCAAGAAAACTGTGAGAGAATCTCTCGAAAGGTTACATGATGAACCATGTATTAACGCAAGCTCAAATGACTAGGAAGAGTGGAGCTACCCTGAGGCCTGGAGCTCACAGTTTAATAATACACCTCAGCCTAAATTTAACCCACAGAGGAAGCTACTCTGTGACAGTAGGCAGGCAGCCAGGTCCCTGTGCAGGTCATTCAATCCTGCTTGAGAAAGTGGGTACTGGCTGTCAGCACCAATTTTATGGTATTCTTTTACACAGCCACTCCAGGGTCACTTCAAGTCGGCACCAACAGGCATTCCACCTACGTCTTTGAACACCCCCCTCCACGCACACACCACCATACGAAGAAGACTGATCGCCATTTGCCCCTTCTCCGATACATCCCGTTAAACCAGCTCACAGTGTAACTACCTTTAACAGCACAAAGTAAGTACTTAACACTAGTAAATTAAAAAGGGGGCCTTAAAAATTAACTTTACATTAAGCCACACATCACTGTGCCACTTTAAAATGTCAACCTCAATCGCCCTTTCTCTCCAACTCTCCAAGCTTTGGCTATCCAAAAAATACCATTCTGCTTTAAAAACTGGACTGTCACTTCCAGAATCATTAAAATCCTGTGACACAGATCCCACTGGCTAGCATGCACAATAACAAAGGCCTAAATATTTACATGCTCCAGTAAGTGGAAAAAGATGTGCACTTATCTGGCGGAGATAGAAATTAGAATGGATGTCTGGCATTGAATCCTATATATGAAAAAACATTTTTCTCTCCGCTGGCATAAACAAAATAACTGTATTATTGAAATGCACAACCATAACGTGGATAGAAAAAAAAAAGTTTTTAAAAGTTTAAAGAAAAAAGGAAAATCTTATTCCTAGTATTTCTGAGAACATAAACCCCCCACACCCATGGTCTTATAAGAGCCTTCCATTCCTCAGCCTGCATGAGCCAGCCCACCCTGGCTGAAGAAGAAAGTGTCTGCCAGGAAAGACCTAACTCAAAAAAAAGGAGGAACTGGAACAGAGTGTCAGAGGCCAAAAGCTACAGGGAGATACTGCCAAGTCGCAGTCTCTATCCACTTCACTGGCCAGGCTGCATTCTGCTCCAGTCAGATGATGTGTGAGGAGAGCTTTAATGCTCCCAGTCTGGCAGGCGGCCTAGTTTGCATTAAAGCCTTTCACTGTCATATTGAGGTTAACTCTTAATAACCTCGCTTTCCAGGACAACAGCAGCAGCACAGACAGACAGGAGATTCTTAACACAGCACAAAATAATCCTAGGCTGACCAAAACCTCATTTCCTTGTTTACATACCGGCTACAGTTGAAGGGCGGGGGGCAAATTACATTTTAAAAGCTTATTAGTTTGAAATATTTGATTCACAGCTCTGCCAACCCATTGTTCAACTAAAATCCCTAAGTTCAGATTTCACTATGGTCACAGCGTTAAAAGTAATTTAAAAAAAGGCATTCTATTCCTTGAACTCTGCATCATAGATGGATGAGATCAAGGAATAGAAGTTTTCACTTGGTTGTCTAATAGTGAAGAAGAAATATCATTAAGAAATGTTTTGCGTAATAAATATCCATCTTGTTCATTTGTCTGTAAAGTTCCCTGGAGTTTCTCCCATGATCAACACAACTTACAATTACATTTGATACATAAACATAAAAGATACACAGAAATCCGCAAAATGAAAACACATTTCTAAAATGACAGAAACAAAAACAAGGGAGACTAAAGTTTCCACTACCAACAACAGAAGTGAGTAGAATCTGTAACGTTTCCAATACTTTCGCCTGTAAAATACTCAATGCTAACAAAGTAACATAACTAAGCTACATAACACTCATTCAAAACTCTTAAATCTGTTCTTAAAAAGAAGTGCACCAATTCCCTTTCCTCCTGTGAGACATGAAAGAGCACTGAACACCCCCCACACACACACCCCCAGCCCCTCACCCACCCTCCCCTTCTCTTCTCTAAATACAAAGTCTAGAGCGCAACATAAAAAGGGCAGAGTGAGTGAATTAAAAGGTCAACACGGTGCCTCCAGGAGGAGCCTGTTTCTTTTGTGAGAGCCCCTGAGGGATTAAAGTTTTCTTCCCCTGCCAGAGAAATCAAGTCCCTGGCTCCAGGCCTTCCTCCCTCCCCTCACTGAGCCTCATTCATTACTCAGACTCAGTGTGGCGCGGGCCCAGCCAGGAAGGAAAACAGGGGGGTGTGTGCATGTTTGGGGGGATGGCAGGCGGGGGGGTGCAGATAGTCTCCAGTTTAGTATTTCACAGTTTGCACTTGGTCTAAAATGTGTGTTTTGTTAATACTACAGACTTCATAAACTGCTCATTACAGAGCAGGGTGTAGCCGAGAGGGGCTGTTTTAGGTTAATGCCCACAGACTTGGCACTCTTTCTCTAAAAAGCTAACAGGACTGCAATGGAACATTGTCTGCAATGGACAGATCGGGTTTTTTAGCCACTTTCTAAAAATTCAAATCTGCCCCTCATGTTCTTCAGAAATGCCACTACCCTGTGTCTTTCTCTTCTGTGAAAAACAGTAGCTCAAACCAACAAATTCCCCTTTCCAGTTCCAGCACTATTTCAATATATTTCAATACGCCACTGACATGTGTATAAAGAAATGGGCCTTATCTTAAACGTCAGACATACCAGACTGTTGACCCCCCCAAGCGCACCCCACCCCCTTCCCTTAACAAAAGGGGAAAAAAGGGTAGTGCTTACCAACTGCCATAAAAAACTTTAAAGTGCAGTAATGAGAAGCATCTGTAATATGAACAGAGAGAGAGGGGCCTTGCTGAATTTCTGTTAACAGTGCCACTTTTCTCCTGACCTGGTCTCATCATAAATACTTTCTTATCAGCTCCTTCTGAACCTATAGAAAGGGGTTAAAAAGACAGGCCCAATGAAGTGCACACACAGACACTTAAGCCCCAAGGCTAAAGGGACTACCGTGGCCCGTTAAAGGAGCAGTCAGGCAACTGTTTTTTTTTTTAAATCTCTTGCCATACTTTTTGATTATTAGCTGAACTGCTCCCCAAGCTAGGGCCCTTGGGCAGTCACTCCTACAAGAACTGTGATTTCCTGTACCCCCCCTCACCTCCCTCCAGAACACCGCCACCACGCCCACCCCCTCCTCCCTCTCCAAGCAGCCCAGACATTGAGATGTTATCAGTAACTGAAAACTTTCAGAGCGCTCTCTTTTAATAGCTCCGGCTTCCTTGCTGCGGTATCCTGAGGAACTCAGTCCCCACCTCCCTGATATCTCTCAACCTGACCCCCAGAAACCTTCTCAACAACATCCTCATCAACAGTTATCAGCAGCGGTGAAAAACCTGTATCTGACTACACTTTCAAAAAACAACAGATTTTAACTCCCTTACCACTTCATTGAGACGACAGTAATGGGCACATGCATCTGTGACATAATACATATCTTCCTAAGTACCCTCAAATCTAAAAGAGAGGCAAAATACATTACAGGCTGTTTCACTGAGCAGTGCTAGCCATTACAAAGCATCAAAGGGCTGAATATGTGTAATTTTGTAATTAATGTTCTCTGTGTACAGTAAACTGCACATACATTTTTTTAAAAGAGAGCAGGTAGATACTGGTTATGTTTGGTTGATCAGTCCTTTCTTCTTGAACAAACACGTCACTGTATCTCTGACAGGCAAAACAGTGCACAGTAAAGTGGAAGACAAACAAAACGAAATCCACTCAAGGGTGTCACAGCTCTGAGACCCATCCCATATGGGAAGGTGGGGGCTTCATGCCTTTATTATAGCAAAAGTGAGACAATGGTAACTGCCAGTAAGCCGTCTACAAGAATTTAGGTAACAGAATCAGAAGCTTGCCGTTCACTTACAGGCTTCTAAGGAAAACTGACCTGCACATGCAACACAGAAACAAACAACAAGCAACAACAATTTTCTGCGTTGGCATCAATTACTGACGCTAGACTACCATTAAAGAAAGAAAAACAGTAATAAACGCCAGAAAACTAAATGCTGTAATACATTTCCTTCACAACTGTACCATATGTTCCAAATATTTTCCCCTCACATTAGGGATGCAGGAAGCTTTGATGTTTTACTGAACGCTATCCTTGTTGCATCAGAGGAAGTACAGTCTCACATTGTGGGGACTAAAATATGCAACAAATTTAAACGAGGTGCTTGTACTCTGCCCGAACTGACCAATTATTTTCCCCTCTTAAATACAGTGCTCAGTTCATTATCATATTTAAATTGCACACAATGTGCTTGTTTAAGCTTCAGTATTTAGCAATGTATCCTTCACATTTTCTAAGAAAACCCAATCTTGTAACAAGACTCCATGTTGGTTTCACAAGCAAATGCTGTATTTTTTGCAAAAGCTTTTGTTTTTACTTTATTCATGCAAAACAGTGCACATTGTTTTTAGTTTAAACCGATTATGTGTAGGTCCGCATCATAAACTTGTGTGCTTTTGTGAAAAACTGGTTTGTGACAACTCCAAACTAAAATGCTTAATGTGAACAAATGTAATAGAGCATGGCCTACCTGAGAGCCCCCCAGGGGCTAAAAAGTTAGTTCCCCCAGTTTCAGTGGAGGAAGGCACAGAGTCTGGAGAATCTGCAGAGAGAGAGAAAAGTAACATCATTTAAGCAGCTGTGTGCCTATTAATCACTGTATGAAATCAATGCTGCATGAAGATGCTGAACTCTAAAGTTAATTCACCATAACCTCTGAGCAGATCCTGAAAAGTATAACCACAGATGCCTTAACCCTTCCTTACTTAGGGTAACCACTGTTACTGGAAGGCAAAATGTCTAGCTATACATTCAACAGGATCTACGGCTCTACCCTTTCATTCTGATACACTTTCCAAAAAAGCTACTTTAAACAAAAAAGAGAACAACATAAACAAAATTATTTCTGTGTACAAGATCCCAATGTCTCTGATACAATTGTTCTAGTATTATGCGTGAAAAGACCATGGAGCCCACAACCCCACCATCAAAACTTTAAGCATCTCCTACCACCTACCAAGCTTGCCTTTTGAACAATACCCAGACTCACTCTACTGAACCCAGAACAGAGAGGCGATGCTGCATATTTTCTCCCCAGAAGTCTCCAGGTTAGGGCACTCTCACATGGTAACATTTCCTTCCAAGATGGAAGCATAAAATACACAAACAAGTAACAGAAAAGGGAATGCCTAAAACATGTCGTTGTGAACTTATCAGCGCAGCGTGCGGCCCATAATAGGAATACACAGTTTAACAGGATACACTTAATCAAACCAAAAACAATGAAGGAGACCGGAAATGGCCTCAGTCTTGAAAACTGTATACAGTACATTTTCTTAATGGCACTCTAGTGAACTAAGGAAGTATGCTTGCTCTCTCTCTATATATCCCTGTAGCCTAATCAGTTTAAATTGTTCTGGTACATGTTTTCAGCTCTGTTAGATGATTTAGAATGAAAACAATTAAGTGTGTTTCAAAAGAAACAACAATTATGTCTGTGGAGATTTTCTCTGGCAAATACTGTTGCTTCATGCACATTTGGAAGAGTTTATAACTTCTTGCACTTTTGCAGCATCAGATTTTAAGATGTCATAGTAAGGGTTCTGATAAATGACAGCCTTTTAGGTCTTAAACTGTAGCAACAGTAAAGTGAGGTTCAAGTGGATTCTTCAAGAGAATTACCTTAGCAATAAAATGCTCTTTCTGGATGATAGAGGATCTGGATGTGTGATGGACTAAATACAGTTCACTGCTTAAGGTTTAAACAAATCTGCAAGCTTTAAAACTTGCTCAATAATCTCAGGCTTAATTAAAAAATGTTTTTAATAAAGTCTAAACAAGATTTCCATAAAGTATATGTAAGACAGAGTGAACTTTTCACTACTCATTATTGTTTACACAACTTTTTGCCATATTGGCAAGGCTGGAATTTCTAACATCTGGATGAGTGGTTGTACCTGTGCCGTCTGGTGGTTACTTTAACTAGATGCATGGTCGTATACAGTGCGCTTTGATTGGGTTCCAGGGTCTAAGGCTGGGTTTTGAGGGCTAGATCAGTGACCACAGCTCTGTGATGCCATCTTTGAGCCAAAATGTCCTAGAAAATTTGCAGGCTGAGAAACCATATCCTTAACTTCTAACACTCCACAATTCATTTGGTAGAGAACCAAAACGCTAATTTCTTTACCTTTACAGACTCAAAGAGATATAGGGGCACTTTATGCACCCCTCTCATCCCTGAAGGGCTCAACTCAGTGAGCACAGGTACAATATTCATCCTGACATTTGTTATTTCATTTGAGGAAAATGAAATAACAAAATAACAGTCAACACATACAAGATAAATCATAGTTCATCATACTTTATTGCTGGACACCATTTGAATATTTATCTTAATATTGCTATTTAAATACTGTTTTAGTTTTTAGCTTCACCTTAATTTGCAAAAAGACCTTAATGTCACTAGAATTATTTTTTCCATTCAACAGATGCTTCAGTATGACAATCTAGTCAACTTGCCCAGAAATCTGCACCTCCACCTACATCTCTAGGGAGTAGTCCATTAAATTGAAATAAACACTTTCTAGAGAAAAGAACAAGACATAAAATGAAAAAAAATCTCACAAAAGCAAACTATACATGGGTTTTGTGGTTAGGAATGTTGGTATTGTTTTCCTTAAAACAATGACAGACATTTCAGCTGTGCATGTATGTTTAGCTCAGGGTGACTGATAAAACTTTACACTCTAGAGCAAAACTGGATCCCAGATTTCTTAAGAAAGTTAAAAAATCTGGTGAGATACAAAGTTTTGTATTTTATTTGGAGATCAAGGAACAGAAAACAGCAAAACAAAGTTTTGAAAGTTGTCTAGAAAATTTTGATCCACTTGACAGTGGGGCTGCAGACACTACATTGAAGGTACAGCAGTGAACCAACTACAGGATGGGTTTCTTTGGCTATTATCCAACCCATTTTCCATTTCCAAGTAACAACAAAATGCTTCACATACTAAAGAACTTTCTTACCAAACTCCATAGGTTTGCTCTGATAAGGACTCCACAAAGCTGAGGTGCTACGAATTTTTTCACCAGACTAGAATTTAACACCTAAAGGATACGTTTTACCAGGCCTGAAGCTTTGAATTCCTTGCGTCAAACTGCAAGGACTGCCCTTGAAAAAAAATGTGAACATAGTGAAATTGCTTTCAAAATTTTGTCCACTGTGCTTCTAAAATACTTAGAAAATGCAATCAAATTTTCCAATAGTGGAGACTGACATTTCTAACAGAAATCTCTTGGGAAAAGTTGTGTTTCTCCTGACCCAACTCGAAACATGCTTTCAAATAAGCTCACCTGATATTGTTATGACATCTGTGAGGCAAGGCCGAAAATGAAAGCCCCATAAATGAGTCCTTTCTCTCCACACCCCATTGTCCCAATGTGAAGTTTTCCTGCTTTTCCTTCAAAAGAGCTCCAAAAAGCCTTTCTACAAGTTATACAGATGTTTGGATTAATCACTTCCTCACAGCTGATGGTGGGGAACTTTTATTTTCACATTGCACTTATTTGCTGACTTTTTTTGTGTTTATTGATGCTCAGCTACCGCTGTCAGGGTCAGCACGCGCTAATTAATCCGCATCACTCATTGGGAATGCAGGAGAAAAAGGACTCTGCCAAGCTCACCGGAAGAGTAGTAAAAGGTTAATGAGGCCCTGATAAGCATCCTTGAGGGAAGCAGTTTCCCAAAATATGTTTTCCTATCTAGGCAATGTGGCTACACAGTCCCCATTCACAATGTACCAGAGCTTTAAAAGCAGCTACCAGGAGAAAAAAAATAACTCTAAAATAAAAGTTTAAACAGCACTAAATAAGAACATACTGTATACACTGCCACTAGAAAAAAATGCTTTTACACTTCGAAAATACTTTTTCAAAAAGCTCACTGCAAATTCAGATCCTCCAGCGCCAATTATTTTATGACTCACTATAAAAGTGCATAACCTTAGACCTGGGAGGATCCAAGCTTGTATCTGGGTATGAATCCAAACCTGCCTTTCTGACTGTCCAGGCAGCCTTGGACAAATGACTCTATCTCTCCTGACCCAACTCAAACATTCTTTCAAATTAGCATTAGTAGATATAAAACAGCACATATGGCTAGCCAGTCAACTTTTGTAAATAAAACCATACTGAAGGGTTAAATATATGTATTAGTTTTAGATACTTTTTTTTCTTAAAACCATGTTGGAAGATATCTTGTGGTGGAGAAAAAAAACATACACAAAACGTGAAATATTTAACTCTGATACATTCAGTGGAAAAGTACTGAACATCCAATACGAAGTGGGTGAAAGTGCTAGAGGTGTGCTTTTATTTTTCCAACTCGAGACACATTAGATTATCTGTGTCACAACAGACCAGCAGGGAGGTCGGAATGCCAGTGCTAGCTGGGAAACAAAGTCGGCGCCAAATACATACCAGTCTGAACTAAGACTACAGTACAACAAAGGGCAAACTTTACAAAATGTGGATAATTCATGCGTTATCAAACTGTGAACTACACGGCAGCATTTCATGTCCAGCTAATCCAGCTGTAATGGCACAGGCAATAGAATACACTTGCCAAACTCATGTTTAGACACCAAGACCGACTCTTTTCTCTTTTCACTTGAAAACAACAAAGCTGCATCAAAGGCTGCACTTGCAACTCATCCCAAGGTGTCTCCATGTCTGTCTACTACAATCAGCAGATCCCTTCCCCAGATTAAATGTGGCTCCAAATATCTTGCCCCCTCCCCACCAAGTAATCCGCATTTCCGATTTCCTCTCAAGCGCTGACCCCCTCCCACCCCCCTCTTGCCCCCAGCCCGCTGTGCTCTGCTGCCAGTGCTGTTTATCTGGCCTGCCAGGTCACCCGCCAGCCAAAAGTTTGTGCAGACAACCACTACAGAGCTGGTGCCAGCCTGGAATGGGCTTGAGTCTTGGCTGCAGGCCATCCTATTACAGGGGCCTGGCATACACAAATGCATTCTGATTGCCCTGCCATAAATCAAAACATCTGATGGAGACTCTAGATTTTGCAAAAGAGGCAAAAGATCCTTCATACCCCACAGAGCCATATGTACATTACATGTCACAGGTAGACCTTGCTGTCTTATAACAATCGAGTCGTTATTTCTGCTTGTCACCTTGTGCTGCCTTTGAAATGCCTATCATCAGTCGTAGCAGTGGTGAATCAACATCAATAACAAAATAAAGTACAATTAATATTTCAGCAACTACTTAAAAGTCATATGAAACAATGTTCACACGTTCATTAAAAATCAAACCATTAACAAAAAATAAACCTGCTGTGACAGGTTCACATATACCTCCAGCCATTATTGTTAAGGTAAAACAAATTGCAAAATAAACCAAGTTTAACTCACCAGGTGGTTTAAGAAAGTCCATTGGGTATCTGGAGTAAGGAGGAGGGGGAGACTCTGAAATGAAAAACGGCAGAGAAAAGACAGAGCCATGAGAAAGGGGAGACAGAAACTTATGATAACAGTGGCATTCTTTTAGAAAACTGTTTGTCTTAGCTGCGAGGGTTGGAGGCAGGGCAGCGAGGCGGTGATTGCCTTGATATTTAGCAGTCAGATAAACAAAGGGGGCCGCCTGGCGCCAGTCTCCTTGCTATCTGCGACTCAGGCTGTGTGATACGGGCCTCTTTTGGCTCAACTGAAAACTCTCCAGTCTCTGGAAACTACCAACTTGATCCCGACTGTCCGGTTATCCTGTAGCACCTCGTGTATTTAATTCTTAAAGACTGATTTTATCGGATTGAAGTTTTTAGTGTAATTTATATATATATATAAAATGACCTCTCTCAGGACCATCAAAAGTAATTTAAAAAATCTCAATCCTGCCTCGTTTAATTTAGCCATAATCCGATTTACACTTCGTTACAGCTGATAAGTGTGTTGAAAATTTTGGCTCCAGGGAACGTCAAAAATGCAACAGACGTAGGCGACCAAAATAAAAAGGTAGACACCTTACTTATTTTACAATTTAATGCACTGAAAATGTGACAAAGTGCAGTTAATTCTATATATTCTTACCACACCTTTTCGTTTACTACACACGGAAAAAATGTTACTTTTTGGTCTAGAATGCAGTTTATTAAACTTACAAAGGAGATCAAAGCATATGTATTACAGATTCTTGTACAGATATATCTGTTACAAAGACATTACAAGTCTTTCATACATTGGTACTATGCTTCTTTGCGTTTACCTACTGTCTTAAATTTTAATTAACTGGGTCGTTTCAGGTTGCCACCGCTAACACACAAAGTTATCGATTAGATTTTAGGTTACAAAAACTTTGCATTACGGTTTTCAGTTGTCCCTTAAAAATGTCCGAATTACTGTCGCCAAATTGCCTGGCCAGACATTTTTCGACTCTTGAGTTAAAATTTAGCATGCCTGTTATCTTTTGTCACGTTATTTAAAAATACCGGAGAAAGAAAATACCAACTTACCTAATTCACAAAGCCTGCTCATATGGTGAGGATTGCAGCAAACAAGCTCTGGGTTAATTTTCCCATAAGATTCACAGCAAGATAGCCTCTTTAATTCCGAGGAATGCCTGAGATCCGGCCACCTGAATACTTTGTAGAGCAGCAAAGGAAGGGAGTACGTGTGCTGACCCAGTTTGGAGTCCACTTTGCTCGGCAGGAGAAGACAGGGGCTCCTGGCACCCCCTTTTGACTCCACCGCCTGCAAAAGCGCCTCTAATTGTTTCTCTTTGATTTTCTTCAGTATCGAATGGGTCAATGCTTTCAATTCAGCCTCCGTTCCGCGGTTAGATTTGGAAACCTTAGCCGATTTCCCCATGCAGCAGCCCCCGGTTCCATGCGTTCGAGTATCCGCCTCCCCGTCGCCCTCCACGGGCGCACGGCTCCTCCAGAGTCGCCGGACGAGCCCCGATCGTTTGGTCCTGAACATGCGGGACGAAAATAGGGTTTCCCGGCTAAAAAACGAGCATGATGTCCGCAAATCATGAAGAATCCGGGATCCGAGTCCAGGCAACGACAAGCAGCCTGAAATAATATTACGGAAAACGTAGGATTTGGAGCAGCAAAGGCAATCTGTAGCATACGCCAGTCTCTTTTATTTCTAAACCAAAATTCCACAAAAAATATCCAATTAAAAAGGCGCACGGCTTTCCGTGTAACCCCCGTTCACATTAGCTTTATATTGGGGGTACAAAAGTCAGGAGCACCTAATCAGTTTAGTTCTTCAATGATAAATACTGAAATAAAACTAGAGTAGGTTATGTTAGCGTAATACTATTCAATGCAACCAAGCAAAAACACAAAAATAGCAGCCGAACTGGAGTACCTGGACTCATCGGTATTGGTAATGTTAGGAAATAATCAAAAATCGTTACATTAATAGTTCCTTCAATATTTAAAGCGTAATATAAAACAGTACGTGAAAAAAATAAACCACAAACTACAGTGGACAATGGTAACGATAATAAAAATTTTACGAAAAGTAGAAAATGCAGAGAGAAAATACATCCAAAGCCAATCTTGTCCTGGTTTTCTTAAGATTTAATCCACACAATCCTTGATCCGATTGCTAAATAACAGGACTAGCTGAGACTGTCTTTCCCCCTTCTCTTCTTTCAAAGATTATATCCGTCTGTCTGTTCTGCACTCTTGGTCATACATTAGGTTTATTAATTTTAAGAAATCATAAGCTATTGTTTGTTTTTCCAAAGATCCAAACCGGTCTGAACTCTAGCAAATCCGTGAGTGACCTGGTGAAGTGGCAGTCCAAATTTGCAATGTCTTGTACTGAACACTTGCTTTGCCAGTATAATACTGTGCAGACCCTTCGGTTTCGTCCCTTTTTTACGAGCACCGTATCTTTTATATTTCCTTATTCTCCGTTATCCGACCTCTTTTAAGCAGAAGTTTCCGTCTCGTCAAAGAAGGAGACTCCAAATTGTAAGTCTGCACAGAGGTGATGCGATCTTCGGGAGAGAGGGCTGAAAGTGACGTGAATTGCCCAAAGTGCCCTTGCCTTCTCTCGCTTGCTTATCTCTCTCCCCGACTCTCTCCGCTCTTAGCTCTGTCTCCAGTGCGCATTGGCGCGCCCCATCACGTGGGTGTCTAGACACCCTGTCGCTTTAAAAAAAAAGTGATTGTGTTGCGCAAACAAGAGATCAAGTAACTTAAAGCCAGAGAAATCGTTCTTAGGAAGAAAAAAAAGTTGCATATTCTCAGGGCTGATGAAAAATCGTTTGACTTGGAAAATGAAAGTTGACAAGCAAAAGGAAGACATTGTGTCCGCTTTTCCATGTATTAATGTATTGCATTTTCTCGCTAACCAACATATTAAAAAATGTTTAGTGTATGAGAGGGATTGAATAAAGGTATGATTGTGGGATCGTTTAACATGACACTTTTGATGTAATTTAGGCTTTGGAATTAATATTCGTCCTGTTCACGCATTTTAAAAATGTTACCATTATTAGCATTTCTTGAAACGTCTATACATTCAGAATGACCGATTCTAAGCAATAGACAGTGTATATATATACCATCAGAGTATACAGTATAATTGCATTGAGGTTGATGAGACTTATTATGTCAAGTAAACTGATATTTACTATAACTCTGAGAAAGTAAAATGGGTCAATATCTAAGTTATAATAAACGGAAAGACGAGTGTGTGTCCTGTGTACTTGGCTTACTTGGCCCCGAAACCCAGATACGGTTTAACCCAAGGTGGCAGATAGGGCAGTTAAATTGGAAAACATTAATAACACCACAGCAAGGTTACTTTTCAATAGCAAACGCGATTCTGAAACCTGGTTAATAATAGACAATACATGGTTAATAACAAAGAGGTGTTGATAAAATGAATGAAGAATTATTTAACTGGATCAATTTCGGCCTTTCAAATTTAAGATACACACATTTCATTTTAGTGAAGCATGTTTTGCTAATTTCTTATTGTTATTTTATATATATCAACTTCTGATTGTATTATTTGGTATAGTATTCGATGCGTTAGTTTACACTTATAACAATGAAATGTAGCATTTTTAACCATTTCCTGTGTATGCAATCGGCTCCATGTCACCCTTCATTAATTGTGTATCTGTATATTTTCAGTGTATATAGTTAACGAACGCATAGATCAATTTGCAATCATCAGTTCTTCTTCTGGTACTCTGACGTGTTTGTGGGACATCCCCCGTGCTTCTTACCTAAACTATCTACTTAAATGATGTGGTTGTGAGACTGGTTTAAATGAACTACGGTTTAAAAAAGCAGAATGCACAGAACAGTTGGCATTGTGCCGTGACAGACAGTCGAAGACGGCTTGCATTAACCTATTTCACTGCACCAGAATGAGAGAGATACTGTAGAGACGAATAGAAACTTTGTGGGTAATCGTTTCTGTAGCCGTTACCTTATACGCTTTAAGCTGAATTGCACTTCAGATATAGTGTACTCGAGAAACTAGGCTACAGAAATTGTTAATACGCAAGATGTTGGAAAACCGCATCTCTGAAGCAGCTACTGATGAGCGAGGGTATTTTACACATGTACTTCTTTTTCTGCGTCTTAGTAATTGTCTAGCTGTATTGGGCTATAGTGAAGGTGCGAGGTGGTTTACCGAGTATTTCCACGAATAAGTATTTTGCGATCGTATGCATAGACACAATACTTCTACTGTCAAAGATTTAGAAATTCTATCGACGCACATTAATAATCACAACACGCATTTCACGTATTTTCACTTCATGTCTTGTGAAGGTGCTGTATGATAAAGCGTAAGAACACTGAAACTGGTGCGAAGAAGATTTTTCTGCCCTGAAATGTGTTTGAATTGGACAAAAATCGTGATTACTTCTTTGTACAGTAGTCGTCTGTGTTCTGGACCTCTGAAAATGATCACGTTTTAAACTATAATATCTAGACCAGAAATTTAACGAAATACCAGTAATTGCATAGTGGTGGAATACATAATTCTGATCCATAATAATATGTAACCTAGCCTTCACCATGCAGCAACTCGCCCAGATAAAAAGTAACAAAGTAGCACAGCAGAGTAGGCACATTGAAAAGATACTTCTGGCCGGTTTACATTTTCGAACAAATCGAGAGATTTAGCTTACAGATATGCGATCACAATTTTAATGGCTCGTTTTACAGTGTTTTATAAAGAAATGGATACAGCCGAAATTCTAATGTGTTTTTTCCCTAAATAATAACGGCTGGAACGAAATTGTAAGTATAATTTTTTTCATAACTGAGTGCGAAGTGTAGAGTGTATTCATTCGGGATGATTAAACTGGCCCTTTAAGCGGCCTCGGCGGCTGGGTGGACAGAGATCTTGTGTGAGTTAAGAATGCCGACGTAATTGTGTCCTAGACAGTAGGGGAGGTGCAGTATGTTAATATGGGTGCCAGTCAGTGTCGCTGCAGGGCAGAGGGATGGATGATAATGATGATGGGAGATGTGTGCTTGGGAGGCGCCGCCAGTCAATGGTTCAGTCCCATTGTTAGCAGATTCCCCACTGGCGCCGCACAAGAGCTGCGCTCAACTGGCAACCTTCAACATTTAAGGTAGTCTGGAAGTAATCATGCAGAAGCGCACAGAAGTGGGCTGTGACGTCACGATACAGCATAGCATGTAGTTATTGTAATAGAGCAATACCGCAGGATTCCTAAGGTATCGCTACGATAATGTATCACGGGATATTTCTGGTAGTACTACATTATTGTATTGTCCTGATACATATACCAGTATCATAAGGGCATAATTGAAATTTAATTGTGGGGGGTGGTTATAAAGTGAAATTACGTAATTCAGCAATCATCGTGAAAATTGTACCATGGGGTACTGAAATTTGGTAGCCCACACATACAGAAGGGAACATCGGAGGGCACGTGTCGCACACCAGAGGGCGCTACCCGGTTCAGTGTGACCCACGTCTGTGTTCTGAATGGTTTGCATGAATGGGAGTGCGTTGTACTACATGGGCGGCAGTACGAGGGCTGCCTACTGTTCGTCCCGGGTGCGAGGTCTTCTTGGTGTTGTTTGAATTTAATTGTAACAAAATGCAATTGCTCCTTGCAGCAATTTTCACAATAAAGTGAAGTTCGAGTCGACCATTCTCTTAAAAACACTGAAATCTGCATCTTTCCGTCACGCAACCAAAAACAAATATATTCGCTGTGAATGGCCTCAACAGAATAAGAAAAATTATAAAAATCAAAACATATCCATTGCAATTAAAGCAAAAACACATCGATTTTCACCAACAGGCTATAATAATTATATATGGTTCATATTGCTACATAATACTTATGTTCTCTGTTAAAAAAATACTATACAGTTTGCAACCTTATCAGATGCGATGTTTTGTGTCATGGTGCTCTTGTTCTTAAACAATTATACTCTTCATGCAAGATTGCTTGACTATTAGTATACTGCATATTACTAAAAGGGAAATACTTTTATATGTAAGGTATGTGTGATAATTGCAAAAAGTCTTTATATTGATAGATTATACTTTATTAATCCCGTAGGGAAATTGATGTGTTATATAATAGAACTGTGATGCATGTTAGTACCAGGCCAATCTTAATAAATTATAAAATGGACAGCAAAAACATGAGAAAATCCCAAACCTTTGTAAAACACAGTTATCCCAAGTTTTGTTTTCATAAACAAACAAATATTATTTATTGGAGAAAAATAAAATAAGGAATATAATATTTAAGAATTTTGTCCAGGTAAAATATTATTTTATTTGAGTGTTGTATTGGAATGTTCCTGCAGAATTACTTTATCCGAGTCCAAAGCTCAAAAAGAAATGATGCCACATATGAGGCTTATTTTTCATTTTCCATTTTTTTCCACAGCCAGTTTGGAAATAAGGCATTTATTTATTTAAAAAAAATAAATATACAAGGTAAAACAAATAGGTAAATAATCTACAAGTATTTTAACCACAGGCTAAAATGTGGTTCCGAACATGAGCTCCATCCAGCTGGAGTTTGCACTGTTTACTGTTCCCTCTTGACCTTACCATTTTAATGACAGGCTCTTCATTTTTACATGTAACACAAAAGACCAGCCCTGTAGTTCCCCAGCTTAGCTCTGAAATAAATTTAGCTCCCACATTATAGATAATGTGCATTTTTCTGACAGAGTTATTTCTTAATTTCCCCAGGTTATAAAAACATAAATCATTTTTAGTATTGTGAAATACCTTTAGCTTTACCAGGTTGTAATAAGATGGTTGCTTAGCTGGTCACAACAATATTTTCACAAACTAACAGAAACTATCATATCTTTAATATAATTTACATTAGGTTTAGCTTTGTCCATCCAAATACTGAAATGAATATAAGACACAGAGGCACTTCAGAAAGAATCAAGAAACTCAGTTTAATGATAGATGTTAAACATGTTGAAATGTGAGACTGTTGTAATAAGGTTTCATGGGAAAATGCCTTGTAAAAATGAATGTACTACACTGAGAGCCTAAAAGAACTTAGTCTTGAACAAACAAGATAGGACCTGAGCAAAATATTCAAAGTCCTTCAAGATGTTGGCAAAGCTAACTGTGTGGACTTCCTTGGAATCAACAGAATGAGATGCGAACCACAGAACACTAACAAACACTTTGTGGAAGTGCTTTTTACTATCCAAGACATAGATAAATGTGTAAATTCTATACATTTGCCCATATATCTAGTATTTTTCTAACCTGTTTATTATTTTCTCACAGTAAGGAAAATAATTATTTAACATAAACACATAAAATACAAATTCTACATTTTGTAATGTTCATTCTGCCTGTTTGTAATACTTTGCACTTTTACATTTAATATGTCATTGAATGTGACAGTGGAAGAGACAGCTAACATCCTAGTGGCAAAATCAAGAAAGGTTTATTTCAAAAGCCATTTGATTCCAGAAGTTATCAGTTAAAGGCATGTCATGCTGCCCATGTGTAGCAGGGCTCATTTATTATGAGTCTGGTACAATGACGTATTCTTTTGGAACTTCAAAGGTACAGCAAACCCAGTTTTTCACTTGCT